CACTGGGAGACAAAGGCGGTCGGGCGTGGTGCTAGCCACCCACCCCCTCTTGTACCGTTCCGGCCTTCATAGGTGCTCGCTAACAGCACTTGCCCCTACAGTCTGTTAAGGCTATAGGGGAATCTTTGTTTTTTTGTGTGTGTGAGGGTTGGTATGTGTGTGAGGGTGTGTGAGGGTGTGTGTGTAAGGGTTGGTGTGTGTGTGTGTGAGGATTGGTGTGTGTGTGAGGGTGTGTGTGAGGGTGTGTGTGTGAGGGTTGGTGTGTGTGTGTGTGTGAGGGTGTTTGTGAGGGTGTTTGTGAGGGTGTGTGTGAGGGTGTGTGTGTCTGAGGGTGTGTGAGGGTGTGTGAGGGTGTGTGTGAGGGTGTGTGTGAGGGTGTGTGTGAGGGTTGGCGTGTGTGTGAGGGTTGGTTTGTGTGTGAAGGCGCGTGTGAGGGTAGGCGTGTGTGAGGGTATGTGTATGAGGGTGTGTGTGTGAGGGTTGGTGTGTGTGTGAGGGTTGGTGTGTGTGTGAGGGTGAGTGTGAGGGTTGGTGTGTTTGTGAGGGTATGTGTGTGAGGGTGTGTGTGAGGGTTGGTGTGTGTGTGAGGGTATGTGTGTGAGGGTGTGTGTGTGTGAGGGTTGGTGTGTGTGTGTGAGGGTGTGTGTGAGGGTTGGTGTGTGTGTGAGGAGCGATAGTGTAGCGGTTAGCGCGCTGTGCGATGAACCTGGCGACTTGGGTTCGATTCCCGCTCACGGCCAACACCATTGACGATTATCTGAACCGGTCCTGGGTCTCCCCTAGGTCGATTCAGCCTCAAATGAGTACCTGGCGCGGTGTGTAAACATCGCCACTGGGGAGACAAAGGCGGTCGGGCGTGGTGCTAGCCACCCACCCCCTCTTGTACCGTTCCGGCCTTCATAGGTGCTTGCTAACAGCACTTGCCCCTACAGTCTGTTAAGGCTATAGGGGAATCTTTGTTTTTTTGTGTGTGTGAGGGTTGGTATGTGTGTGAGGGTGTGTGAGGGTGTGTGTGTAAGGGTTGGTGTGTGTGTGTGTGAGGATTGGTGTGTGTGTGAGGGTGTGTGTGAGGGTGTGTGTGTGAGGGTTGGTGTGTGTGTGTGTGAGGGTGTTTGTGAGGGTGTTTGTGAGGGTGTGTGTGAGGGTGTGTGTGTCTGAGGGTGTGTGAGGGTGTGTGAGGGTGTGTGTGAGGGTGTGTGTGAGGGTGTGTGTGAGGGTTGGCGTGTGTGTGAGGGTTGGTTTGTGTGTGAAGGCGCGTGTGAGGGTAGGCGTGTGTGAGGGTATGTGTATGAGGGTGTGTGTGTGAGGGTTGGTGTGTGTGTGAGGGTTGGTGTGTGTGTGAGGGTGAGTGTGAGGGTTGGTGTGTTTGTGAGGGTATGTGTGTGAGGGTGTGTGTGAGGGTTGGTGTGTGTGTGAGGGTATGTGTGTGAGGGTGTGTGTGGGAGGGTTGGTGTGTGTGAGGGTATGTGTGTGAGGGTGTGTGTGAGGGTTGGTGTGTGTGTGAGGGTGTGTGTGAGGGTTGGCGTGTGTGTGAGGGTTGGTGTGTGTGTGAGGGTGTGAGGGAGCGATAGTGTAGCGGTTAGCGCGCTGCGCTATGAACCTGGCGACCCGGGTTCGATTCCCGCTCACGGCCAACACCAGTGACGATTATCTGAACCGGTCCCGGGCCTCCCCTAGGTCGACTCAGCCTCAAATGAGTACCTGGTGCGGTGTGTAAACATCGCCACTAGGGAGACAAAGGCGGTCGGGCGTGGTGCTGGCCACCCACCCCCTCGTGTACCGTTTCGGCCTTCATAGGTGCTCGCTAACAGCACTTGCCCCTACAGTCTGTTACAGGCTATATGGGGGATCTTTGTCTTTGTTGTGAGGGTGTGTGTGAGGGTTGGTGTGTGTATGAGGAGCGGTGGTGTAGCGGTTAGCGCGCTGCGCTACGAACCCGGCAAACCGAGTTTGATGTCCGCTCATGTCCAACACCATTGACGATTATCTGAATCGGTTCCGGGCCTCCCCTAGGTTGACTCAGCCTCAAATGAATACCTGGTGCGGTGTGTAAAAACATGGACAATGGGGAGACAAAGGCGGCCGAGTGTTGTGCTGGCCACCCACCCCCTCGTGTGCTGTGCTGACCTTCATAGGTGCTCGCGAACAGCACTTGCCCCTACAGTCTGTTCAGGCGATACGGGGGGATCATTATCTTTTCGTGAGTGTGCGGGTGGGTGAGTGTGTGGGTGAGTGTGCGGGTGAGTGTGTGTGAGTGAGTGTGTGTAAGTGTGAGGGTGAGTGTGTGGGTGAGTGTGTGTGTGTGGGTGAGTGTGTGTAAGTGTGTCTGGCAAAACATCCCCCTACCTCCTCGCGGTGCCGGACGGGCAACTCTGTCGTGGACAGTGCTGTGGGGGGAGGTCCAATTTTGATTGGCTCCTCCCCTCATGGCATTTGTGTCCACCACAGGGGCTAAACGGGGGCTCTGGACGGGTGCTAGGGGCCGGTAACCCCTCCACCTTCAATTAATTACCACTAAACCACGAGTTAAACTGAAATATGTAACTAATAAGCTTGTGCCGGAGGCCCCGGGGGGCCAGGCGTCTATGACGTCTCCTGGCCAAACCCCAATTGGCGGAGCCAGGAGATTGAATATCTACCCTCGGGGCTCCTCCAGAAACAACGAAAAGCCACTACGGGTGGCCACGTGGAATGTTCGAACGCTCACTGCGGAGGAGAGGCTGCCACTCCTCTGTCGGGTGCTGGACCGGTACCGCCTGGATCTATGTGGCATTCAGGAGGTCCGGTGGACCGGCTCTGGCTCCTGCCACCATGAGGGGTGGACAGTCCTCTACTCGGGGCAGCAGACTGCCAAACAACAGGGTGTGGCACTTCTTTTGAACAAAAGAATGAAGGGGGCGTGGGAGCGCGGCGGTGAGGTGTGGGAAGCTGTAAGCCCCAGGCTACTTTGGGCTCGCCTTCCCATCAACCGGAGGCGAGGAATGGTGGTCGTGGTTACTTATGCCCCCACCGAAGATGAACATCCGTGGAGGGATGCAGGCAAAGCCGATGAGTCAGATGCCTTCTATGACCTCCTGTCACAGGTGCTGGCTAAAGTGGCTCCTCGGGATAGAGTTATCATGTTGGGTGACTTCAATGCCCGAGTTGGTCATGATACTGGCACCTGGTCTGGAGGGATTGGAGGGCATGGGCCAGATCAGCTCAATAACAACGGTAGGAGGCTGCTAGATTTTTGTGCAGCCCATGGGCTTGTAATTACCAACACGCTGTTCCGACATCGGCGCATCCACACAATATCATGGATGCATGCCGGGTCCAAGCAAGAACATCTGCTGGACTACATAGTGACGGACCAGCGGATTCGAGCCCATGTCCTTGACATCAGGACCTACCGTGGAGCTGATCTGCCCTCTGACCATCGACTAGTCATCTGTAAGATGTGCCTGCCATTCTTCCACTCCGGTGGTGGGTGTACACCTAGGACCCCATTCCAACCTAAAGTGGCCTGGACTCAGTTATCTGATGAAAGTTGCAAGCGAGAATTTCATCATCGCCTGCGGTTGGGGTTGGCATCGTCCCCCACTTCTCCGGATATCGAGGGTAAATGGGCGAGGTTTAGGAC